GAGGGCTAATCCACCAATAAGCTGAGCATCTTCCTGAGTGTTGTGTTTGCAATGAGCTGAGGTCAGACTGACATCTCCCAGCCATCTGTGGTTCCATAATTTATCAAGTATCCTAATCTCTATTAATCGATACCTTTGGGCAAGTTTCCCTACTCCACACGCCTTTGTATACTTGGCAGTAAGTACGAACCCGATTGGCAGATCGACTAATAGGCGATAATAATCCCTTCCAAAAAAGATAAAATAGTAATGAATAAATAATTTGGTCGCTCAATTTGTGGGACACCGCTGTGAGCAATTGGCTGCCGCGTTTCGCCCACAAAATATACAGTCACTACACTTTACAATATACTCCTGAAGCGCTTTGAGACGTCTCGAATATGTGATAAGCCGCTATATCAAATGCAAGCATTATTCTTACTATATTATTATCGATGTAAGCAGCCAGAGGTAACAGGGAGTCTCGTATTCTTATACTGACCTTCTCAGGATTGGGCTCGGAGCTCGCAGCCATTGGACACACATAGTAAGTGCTCTATTGTCTCGGGCCGAGCAGATTAAATCTGCAGACACTTGTGTGTTGCACAGCCCGGTGAAGACTTTTAGTTTTCAGCAATTTGCAAAAGCACAGCACTAATCTGCTGCCATCTGCTGCCAATGCCAGGCGAGCATTTCAATGGGCTTTTGTTTAACCCCTTGGTAGGTACACCTTTATCTTTTCTCCCCTCGCCTCCATCGCTCCCCCGCCCCCCAAAAGGGGTCAGTCTGCTGTGTGCAATTGGCTGTCGCTTTTCGCCCAGAAAATATACAGTCAATCCACTTTGCAGTACGTTCTGTGAAGCGCTTTGAGACGTCTCAATGACACAATAAGGTGCCATATCAAATGCAAGGATTTTTATTTTGGTGGCGCCCTCAACTCTGAGTGAGAAGGTTGTGGGTCGGGGCTTTGAACTCACAGTCTCGGCTGACGCTCAGTGCAGTGACGTGGAGCAGGACTACATTGTTGGAGGCATGAATGAGACGTTAAACTGAGGTCCCGTGTGTGCCTGTTCAGGTGGATGGTAAAGATCCCGCAACACTATTCAAAAAGAGAAGGGAGTTTTTCTCTCTCCCGGTGTCCGGGCCAATAGTCCCCCAAATAAAATTGGGAAGCGAATTGAGATGTCCTTCCAATTGCAAGGTTTATTTATTATTATTATGTATTATTCGAATATGCAGCCAATTACTAATAAGAATAATCCTAGTATTTGATTCAGCGCCTTATCACGTCTTCGAGACGTCTCAAAGCGCTTCACAGAATATACTTCACAGAGCAACTTCGCCCAAACAGCTACAGAACTGAATGGCTGATTTTATTGGGGAGTTGAGGAGGGGTCTTGTCGACAAGGAAAGGAACTCCCTTCTCTTTTGCGAATGGGATCTTTAACGTCCCCCTGAAAAGGCGCAGACGGAAACCTCGGTTTAACGTCTCGGCCGAGTTAAGACTGAATTCAACAGAAGGCCTCGTTGCCGCGGTTACAGCAACGGCAAATTCTGGCTTAGTAAAGTCTGGACGCACTGAAATGCTATGTAAACCTAGATCGGGAAGTGTGTGTGTGGGTGTGGGTGGGTGGTTGTGTATAAGTGAGTGTGTATGTGTGTGGGTGTGTGTAAGTGAGTGTGTATGTGCGCGGGTGTGTGTAAGTGAGTGTGTATGTATGGTGTGGATGTGTGTGAGTATGTATGTATGGGTGTGTGTAAGTGAGTGTGTATGTGTGAGTGAGTGTGTATGTGTGTATGTGTGTGGGTGTGTCTAAGTGAGTGTGTGGGTGGGGGTTGGGGTTGGGAAGGGGGTTTTCTCCCTCCTCCTCTCCCTGATCGGAGCGTGAAACCCGAGCCGAGGTAAAGACATGAAGGGGTCCCAAAGCCGCTGTGGATACAGTAATTCACTTCCAGTCTGATTTAGGCCTGATCTGGTCTTAATTAGGGCTGTAAATTCCTCCGCTCCAGGCTTCAAAAGGTTATTGGGATGTAACCATTAGCCCCAGTATGCAGACCAGCCCGTCCTGGCTTCCCATTCGGCCAGTTTGGGTCTCTGGAGGTTTATTGGGGCTGGAACTATGGCAACGGGGACTACTGTGGTGATTAGACCCTGGCGCAGCCTATAGCCATTACACTATTTCCAGCACGTCCCAGGTCTAACAGTGACATTTATATACCCTCCCTCCACCCGCCCTCCTCCGCCTGACACACACACACTCACACACTCACACGTAAAATTAAAGGTAAATGTTTGGATGCTGTTCAGAGCTTTAACCTTTTTAACTTGTGTTCATGTAGCGTCCAATACACCATCAACGATAGCCAGGTTTGACGTGGAGTCAGGGAGAAAGAGGAGGTGACCAGAGTCACGGTTGAAGAGGAAAGTCTTCCATCTCCGATCTGAAGGCAGGCAAGGCAGAGCGAGTTCCAACGATTCAGGAAATAATAATAATAATAATAATCCTTGCATTTGATACAGACATCTCAAAGCGCTTCACAGTGTAAAGTGGATTGACTGTGTATTTTGATGGCGGAGAGCACGGCAGCCAATTCCGTACAGCGGTGTCCCCTGAACAGTTGTTAAGTGAGTGGCCGCATTTTTTTGGAGGGCTTGTTATTCCCCCAAAACACAAACGACTGTACGTTTTTAAGATACGCTTCAATGTAACACCACTTTAAAGTAGTAAACTACAGAGTTATGAGAAAAAGACAAGGTAAAATTTTTAAACAGCCGGCACAGACACGATGGGCCGAATGGCTTTCTCCTGTGCTATAAATTTCTATGGCTCTAAAACCGTGAATCTTTTGCCCCGGTTTACCAAGCCTCTCCTCATAGTTAAGCCCAGACAATAGACAATAGTCTAGTGAACCATTCCTGGACTTCTACACCAGTCCACACTTATTCCTTATTCCCTCTCACACTCTTCTATTCCCCTCTCTCTCACGTGAAGGTCTAGCTTTCTCTGAAATGCATCTGCACTATCTGATTCCACCAATGTTTCAGACAGCGAGTTCCACAACCTCACTACCTTCTGTGTGAAGTGGTTCCTCTTAAATTCTCTTTTAAGTCCCTGAGTTATTATTTTATATTTGTATCCTTTGGTTACTCAACTAGTGGAAGGAAACAGCCTATTTATGTTAACCTTACGGAACCCTTGTATAATTGTAGACACTTCTATTAGGCCTCACCCACCACCCCCCGAGTGAAAACAGCCCAACCTCTCCCGTCTATCCTGACAGCAGTATCCTGTCAGCCCTGGTATCATCCTCATAACCTACGCTGTACTCCCTCCATTAATGCTGTATCCTTCCTATTATGTGGAGACCAGATTTGGACAAAATATTCCGAATGTGATCTCGTAATAATAATAATCCTTACATTTGATATAGCGCCTTATCACGTTTTCGAGACATCTCAAAAGCGCTTGGTCTAAGCGAGATTTTGCATAAATTCATCATCGCCCCCTGACTTTTATACCCTATCCCCCTGGAAATAAAGCCCAAAACCCCATTGGTCTTTTTTATAGCCTTATCTACCTGTGGAGTTACTTTTAGAGAGTGTAGATCTGAATCCCCGGATTTCTTTGCTCCTCTTAGATGACCATCTGGACTATAGATGGCTTCTTTATTTTTCCAACGTGAATTTTCGCATTTTCCTACATTAAACTTTATTTGCCACCTGTTTGCCCATTCTGCAAGCCTGTTTATGTCTTCCTGCATTCTTCTGCAATCCCCTTTATTGATTATCCTCCACCCCCAACCGCTCCCCCCACCCCAGTTTGGTGTCCTCAGCAAATTTAGACACTGCACTTCCTATAGCTGAATCTAAAACACCTATATTTTTATTCCCACTTTCTAGCACTCTCTCCCCACATCACAGTAACATTCAGTGTTTATCCAGTGATCCCTTGTGAGTGATTCTATCCAATCAGCCCCCAAACACCACCACAATTGGCTGTAAAGTGTAGTGACTGTGTATTTGTCGGCCAGCGCGGCAGCCCAATTTGCATACAGCAACGTCCTACAAACAGGACATTTGTAAATAAATTTGTTTTTTTCTTTAGACTGGATTCCCATCACAATTTATAATAATAATAATCCTTGCATTTGATCCAGTCCCTTATCAGGTTGTTGAGACATCTCATAGGATATGCTGTAAAGTGGAGTGACTGTGTATTTTGTGGGCGAAACACGACAGTCAATGTCCCAGAAAAAATTGTAGATTGAGTGACAAATTTTTTTTGGGAGGGATTATTATCCCCTGGAAAACGATCCGTCAAAGGACTAACAACCTATGTTCCCAAGTTCCAACTTACTGCGAGCTACACAGAGGCGTGTGGAGTAAGGAAAGTTGCCTAAGGTTTCGCCCCGATCGAGAATCAAACCCAGATCCTCTCGGTTGCGAGGCGAGTGCTCTAACCACTACGTCACAGGATTATAACCATCTTATAACCATCTCCGCCAATTCCCACCACCGCACACCATTCTGTCAAAATCCCAGATCGGCCACAGTGCTCAGCACCAAACAACAAAAACATACATTTGTGTGAGTCACGTGTATAATTTTATTTTATTTTTCTTTCCCACCGGAACAAAATCTGCTCTATATTTTTTTCTTTTTTTTAAAAAAAAACAACACATTCTTTCTTCTTCATATTTTCTTAGCACCCATAAGAACACCAATCTCGTGGTATTTCGGACATTTTGGCGTTTTTATTTATTTTAATCTCTCTCTCTCGTGCTCACGCTCTCTTTTACATCTGTAATTGCATTTATGTGAAGCAAAGTGCATTTTTTTGTTAATTGTCTGGCTTACACATTGCACAGTACATAAATAATGCTATAAAACATCTCCGTATTTACAGTAATATAATAGATTTATATATAACATAAAATACACTTTGTTTTCATTGCAGGGGTGGGGTGGGGGGGGGGAGGGTTTGGGGTGGGGGGGGGAGAGGAAGGGGGGAAATGCCCCCACTTTCTCCTTATTAAAATCCTGTGAAGTTTTCGATCGAAAGTCTCTTTACGTCGGAAAACACCCCCCCACCCCGTTTCCTGGACCCCGGGTCCGTTCACAGAAACACACAGAAGGGTCGGGTCAGTTTTGTGGTGGGTCAGTCTGTCTGTGTGTGTGTGTGTCTGCGGTCTCCATCTCTTGGTCTACTTTTGAGTCATCGGTTGTTAAAGAACACTTCGAGCCAGCATGGACAGCTGGTGATAAACTGCCTGGTGTAACACTGGCCCCATCCCTTCACAAAGCTGATCTGCACACTGTAGCCCGACCAAGGTTCGTGTGTGAAATCGTGGTCGTTCGGCCTCTGTAAGCTGCAGGACTTCTCATAGTCAAAAGCCTTGATGGAGTAGCCTGGATACACCTTGTGCACCAGCAATGTCCTGGAGTCGGGGTTATCCAGAGTCACGGACTTGATGAAGACGGGGTAGTGACTGCGGTTATACACCCAGACTCCGTCTCGCTCCCGGCTCAGCTGAATCCCGTAGCCTATCTTCCTGCGGACTTTAGTGACCAGCTGGCTCTTGTTGTCCGAGTTCAGCTGCCCCAAGCAGAAGCCGTTCCCGTGAGGTAGATCATAGAAGATGTCGAGGGAGGGTTCCTGTGCCGTGTACAGCCGGCCAACCCGAGTCCTCTCCTCCCAGTAAGCCACCACACACCAGTGAGCGCGGCTCCCCAACTCCTGGCTTATTCGGGAATCTACACGGGAACAAGAGGGAGAGAGAGAGAGATGGTTAGCCGTTAAATAACAACCACATTCACCACTATAATAATTCTACAACAATAATAATCCATGCATTTGATATGGTGCCTCATCATGTCGTTTGAACCTCTCAAGGGGATTCACGGAGTAAATAAATCACTGGCAATGAAGTGTAGTGACCGTATATTTTGTAGGCGAATTGCGGCAGCCAATTTCACACAGCATTGTCCCACAAACAGCCGTGGATTGAGCGACCACCTTTTTTTTAACAAAAAAGTAGCCTCTTATGTTACTTGACTCCACTAATCCCTCCGTTTGATACAGCGCCTTATCACGGACCGGAGATGTCTCAATGCGCTCCACGGGATATACTGTAAAGTGCGTTGACTTTATTTTGTGGGCGAAACAACATTTCAAAGTGCTTCCTTCGCAATCAATCGATGAATCTGTTTGTGGGACACCACTGTACGCGATCGGCTGCCGCGTTTCATCCACAACGTGCGCAGTGACTCCACTTCACAGTATATCCTGTCCAGCGCTTTGAGACATCTCGAAGACGTGATCATGTCAAATGCAAGGATGATTAGTAATATCCCGACTGGGAGGTGAGAGGTTGCAGGGACTAATCCAAGCTGACGCCTTTCTCAGAGACTCACACACCCACACACACACACACACATACATACACACACACCACCACATTATAAGGTAAATGTTTACAAGACTGAGCTGAGCTGCAAGACACATGTGGCTGGGCTGACTGACGTGTGTTTCAGGGCTGAGGAAACCATTCCCAGGCACTGGGCCAGAGTGCATCAATCAGCCAAGCCTCACACGTGCCCTGTCACCTCACCGCAGCCCTCACCCTCCCATTATCTCCTGTGTTTACACAAATAAAAGGATGTGCGCACACAAGCGCACACACAAACACAGGCATAAAACCAGGCCTGCACGCAAACCCGCACGCACTCACACACACACACACACACAAACGCGCGCGCACGCTCTTGTTCACACCTAATCTAGACTTCAATGATATGTAATGCAAATAATATTATAATTAAAATAATTTGGTCGCTTCAAACCGCGACTGTCTGCGGGACGCCGCTGTGCATATTTGGCCGCCGCGTTTTACCCACAAAATATACAGTCACTACACTTTACAGTATATCCCGTGAAGCGCTTTCAGACGCCTCAAAGTCAGCACTATATCAAATGCAAGTATTATGATTACTATTAAATATGTACATGCATACACATGTCTGTGGGTCTCTCTGATGCTCTGTGTCTATCTCTTTCTCTCTGTATTGTTCCCTTTCCCTCTGTCTATCCCTCTCTATCTCTCTTTCCCTCTGTATCTATCCCTCTCTATCTCTCTTTCCCTCTGTGTCTATCCCTCTCTATCTCTCTTTCCCTCTGTATCTATCCCTCTCTATCTCTCTTTCCCTCTGTGTCTATCCCTCTCTATCTCTCTTTCCCTCTGTATTTATCCCTCTCTATCTCTCTTTCCCTCTGTGTCTATCCCCTCTCTATCTCTCTTTGCCTCTGTATCTATCCCTCTCTATCTCTCTTTGCCTTTGTGTCTATCCCTCTCTATCTCTCTTTCCCTCTGTGTCCCTCTCTATCTCTCTTTCCCTTTTGTCCCGCTCTCTCTCTCTTTCCTTCTGTGTCTATCCCTCTCTAAGTCTCTATCCCTCTGTGCCTCTCTCTTTCCTTCTGTGTCTGTGTCTCTACCTCTGTGTCTGGCTCTTTTACTCTGTGTCTGTTCCTCTCCCTCTCCTCTGTACCTATCTCTTTCCCTCCATACCCTTCTCTCCCGTTCTATATCTGTTCATCTCCCTATCTCGCTCTGCGTCTGTTTCTCTCCCTCTGTGTGTCTGTCCCTTTCGACCCGTGACTCTCTTACTCCGTCTCCCTTTCTGCTGGGTACATAATGGTAGTTGTATTAATTACAAATGTCCCCACCTCTACCTCCCCACCCGCACCCAGTGAAGCCCAGCCTCCCCTCGTTCCCCTCCCCTCCTCGGTGGGCACGGACAGGCTGCGGTGGGTGGGGGCTGTGTATTAACCTGGCTGCCAGGCTCAGCGAGAAGCCTTTGTGCCCTGTAACTAACTGTAGCTTCAGTCTCAATAATTAATGTAAGAACATGACGCGTACGTACACACGCACACACACACACACATCAATATTTTACTAACTCGCCGCTTGCTTAACAGTCCTGGCTGAGGAGCTTATGTTGTTTAATGTTAGCTCTGAGGGCCCATGAGGGAGGGAGGGGGTGCGGAGAGAGAGAGAGGGAGAGAGAGAGAGAGAGACAGAGCAAAATCATCGAGCCACGAGCCCATCACTTTAGAAGCCGTCTCTCTCTCTCTCCCTTTGCTGCCCCCCTCTCTCTCGCTCTCCCCCCTTAACTGTGCCCCTCGTAAACCTCAGCCCAGCTTCTCGCTGGCTCCCATCATTACGGAGGGAAGGGGAAGAGGGAACGAACATAAGGAGGGGAGGAGTGAGGAAGGGCAGAGGGGTCTGTAACGCATTAATTTTAATAGCTTTTTACATCAAAAACGCACCGTAAAATGACAGGAATCCAGAACTCTTATGTGTGTGTGTGTGTGTGTGTGTGTGTGTGAGTGTGAGAGAGAGACAGAGTGAGCGTGTAAGTGTGTGTGAGTAGCTATGTGTGCGTGAGGGTGTTAGGGAGTGTGAACCTGTGAGGGGGTGTGTGAGAATACATGAGCATCTTTATGAGAATATCTGAGCGTGAGTGTTGCGAGTGTGTTGGCAGTGCGAGTGTGTCGAGTAAACGAGTGTAAACAAGTGCTAAGTGTGAGTTCCAGTGTGTAAATGAGTGTGTAAGAGTGCGTGTAAGTGTATGAGGGTGAGTGAGTAAGTGTCGCACTGATATTGACCCAGTTCTGTTGCACACTTTCAAATCTCCTCAACCTCTGGCCGGTGGGGGTGGGGGCGAGTGGGGAGGGGGTGGGGGGGGGAGAGAGAGAGAAAGAGGGGGGTAGTAAGGAAGGAAACTTCGCCCCGACCGGGAATCAAACCCGGGTCCTCTCGCTTGCGAGGCGAGGGTCCTAACCAATAATAATACATAACAATAATAATCATTGCATTTGCTATCGCCCCTTATCGCGTCTTCGAGACGTATTAAAGCGCTTCACAGGATATCGCGTAAAGTGCAGCGACTGTATGTTTTGTGGGCGAAACACTGCGGTCCATTGGGCAGCGTCCACACAAACAGTCGTGGGGCCGAGTGTGCTATTGGACTCCAGTAAAAAAGCACGTGGATTTGCAGACAGGGTTTGGTGAGTGAGTGGGCGGTGGGGGTGGGGGTGGGGGGGGGGGCGGGAGGGGAGGAGAGAGGGAGAGAGCGTGCGACTGGGAAGGAGGAACGTTGATCAGGAAGCCAGACGCAGTTAATGATTAAGCTTTGTCGGCTCGCTGTCTGGGGTTAGGTTTTGCCTCACGTGCAGAGCAACAGCAACAACAACAACGACAACAACTTGCGTTTATACCGCAATCGTCACGCAGGATATAAGGGTCCCAGAGGGCACCCGGGGGGGGGGGGGGGGGTGTTAGGCTGAGGTTCGAGAGCCATGGGGAAAATTTAAAGAGGCAATCCCCAAGCATATAGAGCTACGCTGATGGGACACCCTGCGGAGCCCACCCTTGCCCCGTACTGCTTGATACCCCGACCGAACAGATATCTATCCCAATGCGCTCTTGAAAATGTGACTGGATCCAGCGCCCACAGCCTTTTGGGGGAAGAGTATTCTCTCTCACACCCTCTGATACTCACACACACACACACTCACTCTCGCGCTCTGACACGCGCCCTCACTCGCACACTCGCTGACTCGCACGCTCTCTCGCACACTCGCTCTCTTTCACACGCTCACTCTGTCACACACACCCAATCTGACACTGCGACACACACAGACGCTCTCTCACACACACACACACACACACACACACTCTCTCTCTCCCATACACATTCTCTCGCACGCGATCTCTCTCTCATGTTAGCATGATTCCTAGCGCTGTGTTGGGTATTCACAGACCATTGAGACATGAACCGCCCAGCACTGGCTCCAGCCTCACAGCCTGACTCAGGCCCAATATTTTGACTCAATTTAGACCGGAACAGTAACCGGGGCCCTTATAGGATGTGAGTTTGTCAATGTAATCTAATCCAGGAAGCGACTGAGCAACCAACGAGAGAGTGAGAGAGAGAGAGAGAGAGAGAGAGAGTGGGAGAGAGAGTGAGAGAGAGAATGTATGAGACAATGAATGAGACGTTATGAGTGAGAGTTAATGTGCGAGTGTGAGAGACACTACGCACGAGTGAGAGTACGTGTGCAAGAAAGAGCATGCGAGAGAGAGAGAGAGAGAGCGCGAGAGAGAGAGAGAGAGACAGATTGAGAGACAGAATGCCTGAGAGTACATGTGCGGAGTGGCAGAATGTGTGCGAGAATGTGAGAGAGAAAATGTGTGAAGAGAGTGAATGTGTCGGAGAGAGAGAGAGAGAGTGTGTGTGTGTGTCGGTGAGAGTGAATGTGTCGGAGAGAGAGACAGAGAGAGAGAGAGAGAACGACAGTAGAGAAGTGGGAGTGAGTGAGGATAGAGTGTTGTGCAGTGACATTGGTAGAAATGTTGTGAGACGATGATAGGATGAATTGCCAACAGCCAGAATAACACAGTAAGTGGGTCACAGAGTCTGACATGTTTTTCATCCTCAAGCTCAGTGGAGAAGTCTGTCTGTCTGAGGGGCCAGGATTATGCAATGGGCTGACACTGCAGCCAGGTGACCGGCCCGTTCAAAACTGCCCTGCCTGTAACACAGTCACTACACCATCAAATCACCCTCAGGCCTTTCCAATCAATTCTACGTCTAACAATGCAATGCAGTTCTCTCCTCCCCCATCCAGTACTGTGACGTGTTGTGTGCTCAAAGTCCTAACATGACCTTGTGACTCAAGAGCGAATGTGCCA